AGCGATAGACAAAACTATCTGATCTTCTTGAAAGTTGTCTGTCATCTCTCAGCAACGTCAAAATGTTCAGGTTCTGATGCAACATTCCAATGCTTTTCCTTAGGCACGACAAGAAATTTGCATGTCCTAGATGTTCAGGAGTTGCAGCTCCATCTCTTACCTCACAAGACCAAAGCCATTGCATTGTACGAGATCATGCAAAATTAGGATTGGAAATTGCAATTTAGATTGCGGGAAATTGCAATTTAGATTGTGGGAGAATGAAACGCCACCTAATTTCACTCCTTTTGGGTAAATTGCGGGAAATGGCAATGTAGATTGCGGGAAATTGCAATTTAGATTTCTGGGTTTGTGTTGACCTGCAATGACTTTCACGGAACAGCGACCTCCTGCAGCTTCTGCGGGTGGCCTGCTCACAAGTGAATTTTATATTGAAAAAATAGTTGAAGAAATAAAACAGACTATGAAACGAGACGAAATCATTACTATAGAACATATTACATTTGAAATTTATACATAACAGAAACAATGATTTCATGGCTTTATCATAATATTTAATTATAATATGATTAAACATTGTTTTATAATCTAACAAGAAGGTTAAGACATTTAAATTAAACCTGAAACCCAGACCAGCCGACCAGCAACCCCCTAGCCAAAACTACTTAAAGAAATATTACCTTATATATTAAGAGAAAAAATGAACGGTGATGGAATCAATAATTATATCGATAAAAAATGCTATGATTGTTGTCACTTCAAAAAAGAAAATATGGAATTGTATAAATTGAGTTTACCTAATGAAATAGTGAATAATATTATTAATTATTCAATGGATGAAAAAGACGAATGTGAAAATTGTCAGGAATGGAGAGATAATCAATTTTTAATCAAATGTCTGTTGAGAATAAAAGGAAGACATAATAGAAATGTAGAAGATGAGATTTTAATATTTCTAACTGTAAATAAAATACCACCTTACGATTATGTTAAACAGTTTCTTAAAATCAGTAAGAAAATATGACATGATTTATGATATATTATGGATGTTGGGTTATAGTCAAGAGAAAGGAGAAGATGTTAAACAAAATATCAAATTATTTATTGAAAGTAAAAAGTTTAATGTTCAGAATACAGTGAGAGATGTTAATATTATTTTTAAAATGATGTATGAAAGAAGTAAGGCAAACCAATTAGATTATTATCCTGAACTGAAATTGTAATCATAATATAATAATAACATGTAAAATCTTATATGTTATAATTATACTGAACTTTTAACCTATGACAGCCCTTAAACTTATCTAGAGAAATAACCCCTTAAACATATAGAGACCAATGACAGACAAAAAACAATGTTCCAAATGTAAAGTCTTTCAATTGATAGAAAAGTTCAACGAAGGAAGAAAACAATGTAATGTATGCTTGGAAAATAAACGACGGTATAGAGAAGCACACAAAGAACAAATACAGCAGAAGTCAAAGGAGTATTACGAAAACAACAAAGAACAAATAGCAGATAAGAATAAGACATACAGAGAGAATAACAAAGACGCTATACTAGAAAAGATTAAGAATTATCGTCAAAACCGTAGAGAAGACATAAAACAAAAAGCAAAAGAATATAGAGAAAAGAACAAAGAAGACATAAATGAAAAACAGAAAGACTATAACCAATTGAAAGTAGAATGTTCTTTATGTAAATGCATGGTAGGAAAATACAGAATGAAAAAAACACCAACAAACAAGTAAGCACCAACTAAGAGTGAAAGGTCAAGAAAACAATAACGATACAGTGAGAGATTACATGGAAACAACAAGTGACTTTGAACAAGAATAGGAATAAACAAATGAACCACCAACACCCCAGAACAAAATAACTACTAAAAGGGCCAACTCTTTCAAATGAAAAAAATGTCGGCCCCCAGAAAATCCACCCCTAACACCCTACAACAAAATATAGGATGAAATCAAACAAGGGTGTTAAAACGTTGGATAACAACATTTGACCCAATAACCCCAACACTCCTCCCTCTTCCCCCCAGGCCCCCCCTTTTTTCGCCCCCCCCTTTTCTCCATTTCCCCTTCCCCCCCCCTCCCCCCCGGTCTCAGGCTCGATTCCTCCCTGGTCCATCCCCCCCCCCCCCCGCAGTGGCTCAGTGTTCAGCAGTCTCGGTTTGCCCGTTTTGGACTTGGTGCTACGAACTTTTACATGTTCCACCGATTCAGCTTGTTCATTTGAGACCTCAGTCTTCTCGGTAAACCACCTCGCAAGAATCTTTGCACACGCAGCATGCAGAACCCAGAGGTGCTTTCAGACAGCTTCTGACGCCTCTCGTTGTTTTCATTTTTCAAGGTTTGCCACGCCACCATGTGCGTTTGCGTGTCGCATCTTACGAATCTTGCCGGGCCTCTCGTTGTACACAAGCTACCTATGAATCCACTCTGTCACCGACCCATCTCATGCAACAACTGCTAGCTTTCGTTCACCCGCTCCTCAAGTGAGATGATGCTCACTTGCACAATGTTGCAGGCTACATGAAGTTGTCCCACGCCAAATGGCAATATACCCTGACTCAAGACAAATTGACTGTGGCGCATAACAAGCTGAAAAAGGTGTGAAGGTGCCTCCCGCTCCGCTGACACGGCTAGCGTCAGTCAAAGTGCTCCACCAGATACTTGTACTTGAATGTGCGCGCATGCGTGCGTGCGTGCCTGCGTTCGTGCGTGTGGGCAGCCGGCGTGCGGGCGTGCGGGCGGGCGGGCGTGCGGGCGTGCGGGCGTGCGGGCGTGCGGGCGTGCGGGCGTGCGGGCGTGCGGGCTCCCTGTCCTATACGTCCTTTTATACCTGGCATTATCGTGACTGGAACACCAGAGGATGGCAAAGGCTTGGCAATCCGCACCCGAGCATAGCACGGCCTGTTTTCCCGTCGGGATCGCCTGACCTCATGTTCGCTGGATTGTCAGGGTCATCATCGGCAGCATCCTCAGTTACGGATGGTGGTTGGCCTGCTCCTTCACCGCCTTATGATCCCGAGTTTGATTGGGGTGAGTGACGCGACATAACAGATGTGTGACGTGGCATGTTCTTTGTGTGCTGTGCCGCCTTGGTTTTGCTTGGTTGTCATCTTTTGTGTTACATGGCATGATGCGTTGGTAGCCTGCAGCCGTGTACTTTTCAGATGTGCTGGTCTGATATAGCGCAGACATGCCGTGGTTAGAGTGGTGCCCTGATCCTCAACAACCTGACGCTCAATGGGTCAAAGTCTTTCACCCAGGTTCATGGACACTGCAAGAGCAACTTGATGAAACCCCTCCTCGCTATACTTATCGGGAATGGAAGCAGCGGCCCAGGCAAGTTTACTCGATTGATGGAGTCGAATCTACGGTCCTCTCATGGTACAAACGCGACTGGACTACGGAAGGATATCGGCGTGTTGCTGCTCCTGAACCTGAGCGGGACCTGGCTTCGTTTCTTCCTCCTGACCATCACAGCGTGGCTACACAGTCATCATCCCTGGCCATGTCCCCGCAACTGCTTGAAGCAATCTTACGATCTTCTGATGTATGCAGGCGGGTATTGCCCAACAACTTGCGGATCGACTACGACAAGCATCAGCGCCTCATCAACCAGTACGCGCTGCTGAAGATGGTGTTCAACCCGCGTCTGGACCTGAAGGACCCGCTGAACCTTATCCAGCCTTGCAGTTCGAACGTCAAGGGCAAGTCGAATTTTGAATTAGATGCTGAGTAATTAGGAGGAACACTGATCTTGCGGCAAAACGGTGTTGTCTTATTCTCATGCATGCTTATGTGTTGTGCGTTGTCCTTGTTATCAGTGTGACTGTGCTGTCGCAGCTGGATCGGATACCGTGGTTCAACCCGTTCTCGTACCCCCACGCACCATGGAAATTGACGCCGCAGCCCACAACCTGGGCTTGGATGACCCTCAACAACCATGGCTGGAGTATTCATCCTGGCAAGGGCAGGAATGGGTGAAGGTGTACATCCCTGGGGAAATCCAACTATGGCGTCAACATGAGGACGTGCCCGCTTTACCGGATAACGCTTTTCGTGTGTGGAAGCCGGTTGTTCCAGAGCGTGATGACTCACAGGGTTCTGATGATAATCTTCCGCAACCCGAGCAAGCTCAACACTCGCGCCATCACTACGAAACCTGGACCATTCAAGATTGGCAGCATCAAGGTTACCAGCAGATATTGACCCGGCATGAGTCCTTCTCCATCAACAATGCCTCGGCAGGAACGATCGATACCATGCAGAACCCGGATTCCTCCATTCAGGTGGAACAACTAGAAGCTTCACAGCGCGGTCACTCTCAGCATGATCGAGACCTGATGGACCTCTTCTCCTACTCCCCTCCGCTGACGGACGCCGCGCATCAGTCCTCGCTGTCTTGCCATCGCTCACTATCCAGCGGGGCGTTTTACCTCCAGCTTCACATGCTGTTCCTGTGTCCCCGTCTTCTGAGTGGCATCGTCCGGATCGTGCTAATTCACGTTCTCCCCGCCGCTGTGGATATTTTGGTAGACACTAGGAGCTTGCTGATTTGGTCTTCCGGATGCAAAAGGTAACGATTGCCCCTCTTGGAGGGGCTTGTGTGTGCGGAGTGGCAGAATACCCTGCCACCACAGTTGCTTATGATTTCAACCGCAGGGGGCCCGCGAGCAACTGGATGGCGCGGGCCAACGAAGACCCATCCAGTTTGCTGTGCAAACGTACCTGCGAAGTGATTTATGGTCCTTTTGGTCCCATCCCTGAACCGCCGTTGCTTCCTTGATTCCCTGTTCAAGTAACTAGAGTGAAGCCGAGTGTAATGCGAGCCGAAAATCCACCCACTCAAGTGTGTGTGTGTGTGAGTGTGTGGGGATCTCGGATGATTGTGCTGTGCTTTCCCTCCAACCCTTCGAAATTGGCGTCCAGTCTCGAGGCAAAGGCATTAGGACAAGTCTGATGTGGACGCAAATGTGGCTTCCCAGGGCCCGGTGTTCATCACCGACAACGAGCCCGAGCTGCTGCAGCTTATGGAGAAGAACATCCAGGTGCGCTGAAGCATCTGGTTTTGAGCTGAGATACTTGCAGAAAACCCGGGTTGGGTGTGGGTTAGGGGCCAATCCCAAAGAACAAGGGGCAGGGATATTTGCTGAAGTGCCGGGTTTGGTTCCAAGGGTGTCACGGCTGCTGGGGAAGCATACTGTCGGATCGGAATATCATGTGGAGCTTGTGGGGTTCTGGGCAAGCTCGGAAAGGACAGCCGGGTGTGGGCCTGGGCGAGTTCGGATTCGCCATCTTTGGCATGGGGATTGATTCTGACGGTTTGGGTACTCTTCTCCGATTCGCTGGTGGAAAATTATCAGCACCTTCAATGCGCCAGAAGCTTGCATTGTGCCTTGGTGTCCTTCACAAACAGCCCTGTCTAAAGCAAGTAGTTTGGAACTGGACAGTTTTGCTGAGGCCAGGCTTGAGTTTCTGCTTGACTTAGTAGTGCTGGAGTTCCTTGTTGAAATTGGATTTGACCACCCATTTGATTTAGTGTTGCTTTGAGTTTCCTGCTTTGATTGGAATGAAGATCCAACCTTGCAATGCTGGGCTTAGTTTCGATTGATTTAGTATTGTTGGAGCAAACTTGGCGGAGTTGGAGTTTTCAGGACTTTTCTTTGGAGACAACCGTTTTCATTATTCAGAGGGGCCTTTAAGTAGTGTTGCTTCTTTGGCCCCATGCACCGCCCTTTTTGTGAAACTGTTTCTCAGGCATTCTTGCGAAACAACTGTGTAATTGCCCAGATCAAATGACCAGGGTTTGGCTGACTGATTTTGGTGTTTCAGCTTCTGTTTTTTTTTTGGGCGGGCACTGTTTGTTGTGTTCTTTTGAAGGGGGGCTTGCTTGTAATTTTCCACATTTGGGGCACTTCATTCGTCGTTTCACAGAACAAAGCACAATGTTCAGTATCTAGAAGCGGCTTTTTCTGCCATCATATCGTTAGCCTTGAAGAAGCCGAGTTCCTTTTGAAGTCCAAAAACGCTTGGACTCTAAAAAAGCCCGGTGGAGCCCTCTTTCAGGGTTTTTTTGGATCAAGGGGTTTCTCCCCACTTCCGTGAAAGGGAATCCCCCTGTTTCAATGGGGGTGGCCTTTTCTTCGGGAGGCCCAGCCCTGGCAGGCGAACCGCTTGGGCCACTGCGTGGAGAGCCGCCTGCTCGACTGGGCGGATGACCGAGGCCGCCGGGAAGCTGCTGCGAGGAAGCTGGTGCCCAGGTTTTTCCACTGACCGCTCGGGGTCCATGTCGGGATTCCGGGTTTTTTGGGTACCGCAGCCATGTGAGGACCCAGAAGCCATGCTTGAGACCCTGGAATTTTCTCAGAACCTGCCTGTTTGCAAGCAAAAAGTCGCGACGAAATGTGAGGCGTCGTGCCGCAGCCGGACCTCGTGGTGGCTGCAGCGCCTGGGTCGGGAACAATCCCGTTGTGCTGTTTTCGGGACAACACCAGAAACGGTTCCCCACTTGAGGCAAAGTGCCGGAAAAAGAGTGCCCGGCTTGGGTTCAACCATCCATCTCATGGAAGTCACCTCTTCTGCTGTGCCTGCTTTTTGGTTATGGTTTGTGGCTTGGGCATCAAATTGGTTGGGGTTAGGGTTTCGGGTGCTTTTGGATTCGGGGTGGTGCCAATCCAGAGAGCTGTGCGCTTGACAGAATTTGCGGATCCATTGAACATCAGCCCAGCGGCTGGTTGGCGAGTGGACTCGCCGGTTGATTAGATGCTGGAAAGCCGTAGCTAAGCCCACCCAACACCAACCCTAAAGCCGCGCAAAACCCTAAACCAGGGCTAAACCCATCCTAAACCCACCCTAAACCCGCCCTAAACCCGCCCTACAGAATCCCTACAAAAACCAAAGACTCACCTTGCGCCAACCGTAAACCCAAACCAACCCTACACCCTGATCCAACCACCCCAAAGCTTGAACCAGCAGCCCACTGGGGATGCCGAGGGTGTTGAAAGCGATGCTGAAAATGTTACGACGATACCTCGTCAGAGAGTCATAGGAGAATGCCGCGCTTACCCGCCGAGCGCACTGAGGATGTGCTCTACCAGGGAGACGCTTGGCTTTGTTTGTCCCTGCCTGGAGCGGAGTGTTTGTTGATGTTCGTTGGAGTTTGAGAATTCTTAAATTTTAGTGTGAACAATCGACCTTCCTTATTTTTGTGTTTTTTTTGGTGTCTGGTTGAATTTCGCCATTTCTAGAAAGAATGCGTTCCTACTCTCACCTTGGCGGCCAGTTGGACCTCAGGATGGCTCCATGTTCTGCGATGCGCTGTCTCGTTACCTGGCAACAACCGCTGAAGCCTATGTGGCGAACCACCACAACCCCGACCGGTGTGAGGCGGGGAACAGGGGAACTTGTTGTTTGATTCGGATGGTTGGGCACCAGCTTTCAGAAATCACGTGTGTTTTTGTTTAGTCGCTGGGCATAGACTTCGCCTCCGGATCTCAGTCGGGTGGCAAGGATAGGGCAAGAAACCATGTGCTTTGGGCATGACATAGTCAACATCTGATGACTTGAGGTGAAGTGGTCAGCAGTTTGCTAGGCATTTCAGGCAAACCTAGGATTGTGTTCCTGTTAAGGACACCTGATTACTTAGGGGCAATAAGGCATCAACCGAGAGGGGCCTGCGCTCTTTCATGTTTACATGGTGGGTGTGTAGTGCATCTCGCGCTGTTGCTTGCGCGCGAGTGCCTGAATCACGCTATGCTCTACACCATTGATGGAACACTAACTGGGAGTGCCAAAGTAACAAGCGCAGTGTTGATCCGGCGTCCAGCGAGTTGAACTTGCGAGGCCGGAGGTCAAGTTGCAACAGGACGTGTGAATGACTTGTCAAAGTGATTCTTTCCACTTGTTGGAGATTGGATGTCTGGTATTAAATAAATGAGCTGCAGAATGGAATCTGATGACTTGCAACATCCAAACAGGAGATTTCATTCACGTCTCCAGCTTCCTGGATGTCCTATGCATTGTTCCATTCAGTCTTTTCTTTGCGGCCATTTTCCACACCATGGCGGTGTTTTTGTTCACACACACATATCTTGAGAGAGAGAGAGAGAGATAGAGAGATAGATAGATAGATGGATGGATAGATAGATAGATAGATAGATAGACAGACAGACAGACAGATAGATAGATAGATAGACAGATAGATAGAGAGAGATAGATAGATAGATAGATAGACATATAGATAGACAGATAGATAGAGAGAGAGAGAGAGAGATAGATAGATAGATGGATGGATAGATAGAGAGAGAGATAGATTGACAGATAGATAGATAGATAGATAGATAGATAGATAGATAGATAGATAGATAGATAGATAGAGAGATCGAGATAGAAGAGAGAGAAGAGAGAGGGAAGAGAGTGAAGAGAAGAGAAGAGAAGAGAAGAGAAGAGAAGAGAAGAGAAGAGAAGAGAAGAGAAGAGAAGAGAAGAGAAGAGAAGAGAAGAGAAGAGAAGAGAAGAGAAGAGAAGAGAGAGAAGAGAGAGAAGAGAGAGAAGAGAGAGAAGAGAGAGAAGAGAGAGAAGAGAGAGAAGAGAGAGAAGAGAGAGAAGAGAGAGAAGAGAGAGAAGAGAGAGAAGAGAGAGAAGAGAGAGAAGAGAGAGAAGAGAAGAGAGAGAGAAGTGACGCGCAAACAAGCCGAAACCAGACGCACATTTTGTACCATGCTGAAGGCTCAGTTGTCCAAAGCTGACTTTTTGAGCTTTTTGGACACCAGAATGGCACCTCGCAAGCTGGAGCATCTATGTCCTTTGGCCGGGAGGTGTCCAAAAGAAGCGAGGAAAAGACATGCGCCAGCCTTTATCGAAGGGTACGCTTCCACAAATTACGGAAGTGCACAGACGACTTTTGAGAGGCGACTTGTGCACTGCCATTGTTGGTGAGAGGGTATCTGTTCTAACCGCAGACGTTGCTTTAGACAACCCCTAGTTGGCGGTTTGGATCGGTGGTTTGGGGATTTGATCCCCTGGTTCTTGTAGAGGGTAAATGGGAAACCACCCCCCAACCACCAAATCACCATTGGCTTGCTGGTGCTCAGCAGCGAATGAGGGAATGAGGGAATGAGGGCATGACCCCTACAAACCATCCCCTTGTGGTTTCCTTTCAGGGGACCTCTGGGTTCATGGCATTGCCAATTTCGCCGAGTGGTTTTGGGTTTCATTCTCATCTCACGAAGCCAAGCTGGGAAGAAGCTGGGAAGAAGCCCTGCAACAAGAAATCTCAAATTTTCTCCCTCAAGGACATGTGGGCGTGGCTCAAAATTAACTGATCGGGGGGGCAAACCGCAGGATTTGGTACCCATGTTTCCACTTACCGATCGGGTTCCATTTTGGGTACCGGTTTTTTGAGCCACAGCCATGTGAGGATCTTCAGCATTCCTTCGACTCATTCCCTGAGCACCAGCTGTCTCCATCAGGCCACCCTCGGCTTCCTGCGGCGGGCCGCAGCGCTGGGTCTGCAGGTGGAGAGGCTGCAGGCCAGCACTCGACGCCGGGTTTCTTTGGGTTTCTTTGGGGTCTCTTTGTTTGTTTTTTGTTTTGTTTTGTTTCTTTTCTTTTTTTTGGGGGGGGGGGGAGTTTTAGGCGGGTTTCGGTCTGGTTTAAGGGTGGTTTTGGCTTTAGAGGTGGGTGGTTTGGGGTGGGTGTCTTTAGGGTTCGTTCAGGGCTGGGATTTGGGTTTGCCGTTGAATTAAAAAATGAGATGCGAAACCAGAGCTAACACCCAAGTGTGTTTGCATTTTGTGGGACCACATCAAAGACATCAAACAACACTAAGCAAAACCCAACAAAAGGAAACACAACAGAACACCATGTCAGACGTCCAATGCACTAGGGCATCCTGCTTTGACAAAGAATGGGGTGGGGGGGGGTGTCATTCTAATCTCTTCCGATCTTTTCAGGAGCAGGGTTTTGTCATTAGGCTTTGGGGTTTTCCAGCTTAGGGTCTGGGGCGGGGTTTGGGTTCTTAGGGCATCAGGGTGAAGGGGGTTTACGGCTTGGGCGCAGTACATTGGCATGCCGCCGCTTACAAATTTGCAGGGTAAAGGCTGCATTCTTTAACTCATGCCCATGCCTTTTTTTTTGCGCATCTTGTTGACCATGGATTTGTAGCACCTGGCTTCAAGGGGTCTATGCAAAGGCAGAAAGAGACAACACAGGTCTCTCCCTTTCTCATGTTAGGATTATTCCAGCATATTATTTCTAATGCTGGAGAATCCATAGGTAGGAGAAGGGATAGAGAGAACTAACTGTAACTCATCCAACATAATAAAATAGTTAGACATGGAAAGGATATTTGGATGAGTTTGTATATTAGTTATCTTTCCTTTCTTTACCATTCATTCCTGGCTTTTCAATCCTTGAACATAAGCCAGAATTCATTTTGAAGAAGATATCATTGCTTAAGACCTTTCCATAAGAACTCCAGGAGCTGTATCTCAGGGAATAGCGGATTAACGGTAAATAGTAAAGATGATAAAGTTCTCACGGAAAAGGCATGTATCATCTCATTCTATCTCCTTCTAACATACGCCTGACCAGTGAGAAGGCTTCGGTGGTAGAAGGAAGGAGATGATAGAGGCTTGACTCGTGCTTGTTCATTCATATCTTTACCATTCACAAGCTATTTTATCTTTATTTGGGATCTTCCGGAGTCTTAGCGGTCAATGGGGAAGATCCTTGAACAGGAGATAGAAAGCCATTAATCTGTTACCTTTCTATTTCTTATGCTTGATCTGGCTTATAAACGAAGATATGAGGAATGAAAATAAGCCAGACAAGGAAAGAAGGAAGCGCCGGCTGGACCTAGCTTCAAGGGGTCTATGCAAAGGCACATCTTTGTATTTTTTCCACCTCAACGGGCCTCAGCCCCGGTAAAAAGGGAGGAGCCGCCCATCTGTGTTTGATCCGAGCAAGGCGCGTCCATCGCTCCGACAGGACGGCGCGGGCTTTGCGCTGGGCAGCTTGGCTGGTTCCTTCGAGGGCAGCTTCGAGCCTTTCCGCGGCGCCGAGGCGGATTTTGTTTTCTTCTTTTTTTTCTGGAGAGAGGGGGGGCGCCTGTTGGCAGAGCCGGTTGGCTTGAAACGTCTTTGCTTTGGTCACAATGAACCATCTCACCTTTTTGGAGAATGTAACAAACAGGAGAGCCTTCTTGAGGGTTTGATGCTGGAGATTTAAACATGGACTTCCATGAAGCGCAAGTTGGTCACGCCTTCTCTCAAGACAAAGTGTTGGTGTCGCGGCTTCCCCCCAATTGGACCTGGCCATCTCCCGACTCGATGCTTCCAGGGAGAGCGACTGGCATCGGTGCAGCACGCACGGTTCCATCAGCCAGGCGGAAGCCCAACGGAGTGACTTGCTTGCAAAGCAGAAGCTGCGGGGAGGGTTGTGCAGTCAGAGCTATACATCTTTATGCCTATTTGGTTCAATCAGTGTTTCTTGTTGGAACACAGTGGATTTTGCACTGGACCCACAGGCAATAAAACTTGTTGCAGAGGGGTCAACAGCAACCAAGGTATGTTACCATCGGTTGCCAGAAATCATTTGGAGCTTGGTGAACTTTAACGCGACAGGCACCTCCTTCGTTCTAGCAACTTGAGCCAGTCCACTCAGCAAAAACAATTGCAAACCCAAATTAACGGAAGCTCAGACAGATTTGGCTTGGCTGACACCACACATTCTGATTGATATCGAGGCGAATCCAAATCTTTCGTATTTCAAGACTGAGAGCAACTTTGTAAAACAAAATTCATTCCTAAATAAATAATTAATAACTTTTTTTTGAATAATAAACTCTAGAGCCTCGGGCGAATTCCTCCGACTTCTGGTGCGCTCGGCGCCCCGAACCCCACATGAACGACAGCCGGACAACCCCCAGGAAAAAACCATTGAAAACTGACAAGGGAATCCCGAACCCGACCCACCGTTTTGCACAGAACTCCAGAAACCCCACGCAAAACGCACGTCATCCACCACGCCTGCGCATGGGTGGGCGCAACCCCGAGAGAAGCGACACATTTTACGCAAGAACGCACACGTCATCATGCCGGCGCCTCAAAAACCGTTGAACAACGGAAAAAGGAAGCCCGCACCGAAGCGCGCAGAACCCCGAGAAAACCCAAAGAGAGCCCTGAGAAAAGCTGTAGCCCCCACGCAAAAAAGAAGCACGCGCCTCACCGACCATGCCCGCGCCCAAGAGCACAATCCCCAAAAGCCACAAAGCCACAAAGCCACAAACCCCACGGAAAAAAAGGCACACGTCGCACACCAAGCCGGTGCCCAAAAGACCAATGAAAACAGAAAATTAACGCCCACACTTTATTTGTCGTTATTGCGGTCTATTTATTTATTTTTTTGGTTGGCTTTTTTTTTGATTGTGTTGTTGGGGTCTCTTGTTTTCTGCGCTGGATTTTTTAAATGATTTGGCGTTTTGCGATAAGAATATTGGTCAGCTTTTAATATAAATTTGGTTATATATAATTGTTTGAATTATATAATAAACATATGGGATATTGTTGGGGTGTTTACTTTTGAATGGTTGTTATATTGGCTCGGTAAATAGGTTTAAAGGAATTGATATAATAAATATAATTATAATTTTAATATGTACTTTAAGAATTATATTCCATTAAGGTTTGATAATATGGTTATTGCTAAGAATTAAATTATTTAAAGTATTTGGAGTAATTTAATAATTTATAATACAATAGACAATTTAACTAATGATTTGAAATTGAGAAGCTCGAATATATAAATGATATAGAAAGAATAAATAAAAATTCCGTCGACTTTATAATTCCCTTTGTTTAATAAATAATTTAGTTTGTAATAATTAGATTCGAATTAAAATAATTCTAAAATATAATTTTAAATATTTTTTTATTCGATTAATTATAAAGGAAATTAACATATGGTTTAATTAAAAATCTAAGAGTAATATAATATAAGTATTGCATTTTGTTAAAAAAATAACACTATTTTAGCGTATGGGGGTGGCTATCCAAAAATTATTTGTGGCTGTACGTTAATATGCCGAACAGAAATATACTTATAATAATTTGTGGAATCGATGTGTCGCTTAAAACATTTGGGTACGAGTTACTGGCTTGGGAAAATACGGGCGGAATGCTCTGCCTCTTAGGATTATATAGTCCCAATTTAAAATTCGGGCCTCGCTTGATTTGCAGAGAAGCCATCCCCGAGCATATGAAAGATATCGGGAGGCGGCATTTGGCCGCACATAGATGATTTTGGAGGTGTGTTCGAAGGCTTGTTTCTGTCTATTTACAACTCTCGATTCTTTCGATACCTTCTAATATGCGGTTGTTTCACTTACAATTATTTCATTTAGTATAACTTTTGTAGACATATTATTATTTGTGGTACGAAGAATTTGTGTCTATTAAATCGAGATTTTCGGCGTATTATTTTTTTTATTTGGTTTAGGCCCCATTTTTGGAGCAGATTAATGCAATCTCCGTGCCTAAGATAGCACTAGGTTACGGGTGGACGAGATTTTGTCTCCCGATTTTGTTTTGATAAATTGAGAAATACTTCTCTATGATTGAAAGCTTAGAAATTAAATGCTTAATTTCTTTAAAATAATTTTTTCCAAACTCTTCAAACGACTTTTTTCACTTAAATTGGCCTATAACAATCCAGGAAATTCGGACGAAATTGTTAATTAAATTTCTTTTTTGCTCTTAGAATCATTATTACAAATTGTTAAATTTCGGTCCGTTATCCACACCATTTTAAAGAACGCAATATTTTCTTTGTTCTTGCAGGCTAGCGCACGACATTCTCCTTTCCAATCTCATATCTTAGATGGAAAACAATATATTTATATGCCCGAATCGGAATTTACGCTTACGAGCCGAAATCAGCCTAGAAAACATGCACCTAATATATCTTACTTACTTAGCATCAAAGCGCAAGTGTTTACAAAACATTTCGAATCTTTATCCCGCTTTTTTCGTTCAAATTAATATTAAATATAAGGCTTAGACCCTTCAGCATGTTTTGCGTTTCTTGCTTCGTAACGCTCCTGGTCTTTAGAATCCGAGAGTAAAGATATAACAAATGATTTTGTTGGAAACTATTCACTCTAAAGTGATTCGCTTTTAATGGAGCAAGCCGATATAGACGGACAAACGCGATTACGTACTTTTGCTGCCTCAGGAGCAAATCTTAGAGCACGCCCCGCTCTAATTCAAGATTTTTTACTCACCAACGCCGTACTTTGAGATATTCTTTCTATGCGGCTAGGAATTCCATATTTTGAACAGGGTGATATTTGTTCTTTTTGCTACCAAAATTTAGATATTTTCGGCCACCATGTTTTCCATTATATAAGATATGGTCATAAACAGGGGACTAAATGGGAATTAATTTCCGAAAAGCCATTTTAGGACGACTCGGATAAGATTATGATGCTATTTTTTCACGATTTTACCCAATTATTAGCTAATAAATTAACCCCTATTTATCTATATTCTTAAATTAGCAGAGGCCAATTAATTAGAGTTAAAAAGACCGATGCTCGGGAAAAACTTATTCCTTTAAATATAGATATTTGTTTAATTATTATATGGTTTATTTAATAGAAATTTATGTTTAAATGTATTTTAGTAATGAACTATTATGGAATTTAATAGTATTTAACACCCAATTAATTAGCCTCTATAGTGTTTCTTATGTTGAAATTATAATTCATGCTATTAGATACAGTTCTATTTTGCTGCAAACCGATATTTATAATGTTTTTAATAAACATATTACTTAGCCAATTCTTGAAGGATACCTACTATTCTCTTTCTTTTATTCAATTTACTTTTTACTATTACGGAACCCCATTTTATTTGCTTTACCAAGGATAGTTGGAATAATGTTTACGAAGATAATAAGGCTATCCTATTATGAGTCTTTTGTTTGTTTTACTCATTATCGAATATAAACTTTATGATATAAATCGGGATGAAAATTATATTATTGAAATTAAATAGAAATGATTGGGAATGTTTTTGTTTAATACTTTGTATAGTTTTTTGCCATAATTTGTTAACCGTTCTTTTTTTTTTTTTTATCTTCTAACGTAAAATGAGAGGTTGTCCTTCGCTTTCTATAGGAGGAAAATACATAATAATATTTATTAATTTGCTATACTTTCTTTTTGCGTTAAAGGAAGGAGGGCGATAGGTTTTAAAGTAATTTATTAAACTATTTTTTATGAATTTATTAGTAATAGAAAAAATATAGTTATAACTTAGACGTTCTTAATATTTACTAGTACCTTCCGATTATTGCCCAAACGGCAATATAACAATAGATAGAAATTTCAATAAAAAAAAACTATAGTTAAAAAAAGCATAAACACTATTATTTAATTTTTTTATTTGTGGGATATTTATAGTCTAAGTATTATTAGCTATTATTTACAATGGGAAGATGTTATAATAGGGATGGTAACAATTAAGGGGTACTAGCAAGTGTAATAAGCACTTCATAGCGAATTATCCTTGTTACCCTGTGTTACTTACGTGTTATTTGTGTGTCACTTACGTGTTATCTATGTATTACTTACGTATCACTTACGTATTACTCTAATATCGCTCCCAAGTCGCCCCGTATCGTTCCCCCCAGAACGATAGCAGATTGTTGAGAATTACTGTTGTTTGAGTATAGTAAACCATGTCGCTCTCCGATCGCCTCCCCGTGTCGCTCCGTATCGCTCCCGTGTCGTCCTTATGTCACCCTGCGATACTCCATGTCGCTTGCATCTTACTCCGTGTCGTTTCTGTGTTACCCCGTGTCACCGTGTCACCCCCAGGTCTTGTTTTTTATTGTTTGGAACAATATAGAAACGACCATAGATCCCGGATGTATTGTCGTTGATTTTATTTTCGGAACTACTGCTAAATACCCCGTAGTTCCGAAAATAAAATTTAGATGGTAGTCGGAGGGTGTTGATAGGAAATATATATATATATATATTTTTGGTATCCGAAAATCCATATATAAGATAATAAATAAACATTGGGGTTGAAATATTTTTTTGTTAATTGTCTTATTAATTATTGTTTAATTTGAGGATGTAATTTGGTATGATATTTCTATGATGAATATATTCGACGATAGGATAGTGTTTTTTTTTTCCTTTTTTCTCGAACGAGAACTAATAATAAAAGGACCTCCGAATTAAGATTATGTTCGTGGCGATTGATTATGTTTATTGTAATTTTTTTATCGAAATTTGGGGAGGTTTTTTTCGGATTTTTGTTAAGAATTCTCGTGGTATACCGTGGGCAAATTTGCCCGAATTTTAAATTATTTCTATCGATATAACTCTTAGATTT